TCTGTATCATTTCATGTGTTGCAATATAAAGTTCCATAACGAAATCAGTAGAAAATCCTTTTATCACAATAACTCTTACAATTATTTCTTATTGAACCATCTTATATCTATTTTACGGGTTGGTGTCTGCCTTTTTCACACCTTTTCCCTATATTTTATCATATTCTAGACAGATCATCAAAGGTTCATGAGATTATTGTCATACATGCTTTCAATCATTGCAAAAATATCGATTGTGTAATACAATACAAAATAATACAAGTGCAGAAGGGCACGGTGCCCATTTGAGCCTTGTCCATGTTTTGTTAAATTAGGCTAATAGTGGTTTACAGCAACTGCATAAAACATTTTACAATATTTATGTAGGAAATTTGTGCATGATTTAGAAAGTCATTAAGCTGGAAAACTGCAATATACTGCAGACTTTTCAGAGAGGTTACTTTCGATGTATTCATTCAGCTTAGTGAAAACATAATATAGATATGTATAAAAATAAGACTTGATCCTTGGAATGTTATTAGACTAACGAAACGGGTCGTGCATGTTTAGTAGCGCTACTAGGCCACAAAAACCATTTAATTTATATCAAAAAAATATATTCTTAAAAGTGCACTGAGCACTGAGCAGCAGCCTAAATAATATCCATGTAACTTACTCATATAGTTACAAAATGCTCAAACTCGCATTGTGACATTTATAATTCGGCTTATATTTCTCCAACAGATAATTCATCTGCCGCGGAAGAATTTTATTGTGCCCTTACCATGTCTGATAACATCCAAACACAGAAACCTTGCCTAAAATTGTACCTATCTTGAAAGATTATTTTTGGTGGCCTATATTACGGACCGTGGCCCACTATGGGTTGGTAACATTATAGAAAATAACATGACATTTTGGTTGTAAAAAATTGCCCAATGAGTAAATACTATTATTTATGCAGCTACTGTCATCACAAATGTCGTATTGCTTTTAAACTAGATCACATAATCTTTTATAAGATACGTTGATTAACAATGCATGTAAACGTCAATATTTACGTAATAGCCAATTTACAGTATTATTTGCTTTTTGGAAATGCCACATTGCTATGTCATTTACATTATTTGTTGCCAATTAAGCCGCACGACCATATAAACGAGGAGGCCCCTAACAGTTCAAGAATAAAAGCCAACTTCACTTCAAGTATATTCCACTACACCTAACATTCCGTAGAGAGATTATATTGACAACTTTATGTAATTGGTAAGGCTGAGACAACTAACTGACATCCCCCATGTCAAGGGATTCCAGCTTTAACAGTAACCCCATAACCAATTTCTCAAAACTGTGCAAGAGGGTTATTCATTGGCACAGAAGTACGATATGAACTGACGCGACGTGACGAAAGAAAAATCAAACTTACACTGTAATAGATATACCTCCCTTTGAAGTTAGAACGTGTCTTCCCAACAAACAGATTTTTTTCAAATAAAATCATAGATTAATCTACCTTAAACTGATGAAATCACGGAAGTGTTTAACTACAAAATATCTACCAATACGATTTTGAAGGGTTTCACCTAGTTCCTCAATATTCTTGTTAGGAAATTTACAAGGATTCTGAAAACTACAATAAACTCCATTTAATCATGATTTTTAGTGCAGCTGTTGCCAAATCATTTAAGCAAATACATGTTTTTATACATGCAATTAGACTAGCCGATCGGTGTTTTCATAAGACACACTTAAATTAAAGAACGAAAAAGCAAAGAAACAGTAAATTTTTATACATCTTTTTAAAGGTTATTGAACAAGTCTTAGTAACACATTGGGTACATTTACTGATTTTGTTGAAATTAAATATTTACCATTTCAATTTACATTCGTACATATTACAATGTAAAAAATCGAGAAAGCCTGGGCAGTTTGATATATTTTACCAAATAAGAAAAATGAATTGACATATTACTGTATTTCTTGAGAAATCATTGAAAGAACCGATTTGTTAACCATGGAAACTTAGCAAAGTCATATAACGCCACCAAGTAGAAGAAATAGAGATTTAAAAAAACAATTTTCCATCGTCATCAAACTATATAATGAAGAACACCTACAGCTACAATATGAAGATTCCCACAAACAATGAACAAGGATGTTAGCCGAAGTGCTACTATTTTGTAGGAAACATGGATGATTATTGGCAAAGGAAACCCCTCTAAGTCTGAATTAAACTGGTACGGCAAGGACATTTATCATAAAATGTATGTTTTCATAAAAGTCAAGTGATTTTAAAAGAATGTGACTACATCCAAGAAACCTTAATAAAACTTTCATTGAAGGATTCACATTATTCACATTATTATTCTCATTATTATTCACATTTAAGGGAAACAAAAAAACATCTGAACGCCATTAGGCCTTTCAATTCTGCATTTTTTCATGTAAATATAATTTACGATATAACAGTAACTAGCCAAATGAATGCCAATTGATGCAAATAAAATTGCAACAGAGAGGTTATGCAGAAAATCAGGTAGTTCTTAGTCATGCAAACAAAACGTTATCGGGCTATAAAAAATTGACTGAAATTTGTAAACGTACTGGCGACAACAGGGGGTACCATGCAGACTACATTATCATTGACGAAGATTAACATGGACAACCTAATACGGCTATAAGTGGGAAACATTTAAAAAACCAGATCAACTTTTGAAAAATGAAAAAAAAATATTTACAAGAAATTTTGATTTTATGGAACTGTTAGGTACGTAATCTATGAATTGAGTCTTTTAAACACATCGGAAATTATGATGACTTTTATTTGTTTTTAAATAACCACTTCTTTGCAATTGCTTAATTTCGAGCAAGGTGTAAACTAGTTGTGAATTAATGTAATAAGGTCAAAACCTATTGGGCTCGAAGTAAAGGTGTAATGTACTCTTAACCTAAGGAAGAGCTACGTTTCATCAACTCCCCTTTCAAGTTTTACAATACTGTATAAAGATTATAAGACAATGATAGGTTAATACATACCTCCGTAAAATAGTCCAATGATTAGTATTGCTCATTAGTGATTAGTATCAGCTTATAAGTTATATTGCGAATACAGCATTTTTCAAACTTACAACTCGTCAAAAACATAATTAACAATTAACACAATTAACAAAACAAGGACTACACGAACTTAAAAAACATTAAAATGGCACGAATACACAAACATTTTGATAGCTCTATCATAATAATACTGATTTAGTCCGGCGCGGGGCAGGGTTGTTAGCAGGGAGGTCTACGTCACGTCGTCTCCTCTTAAACTGCTATCACTGATGATATCAGATCTTCGACCAGCTATTTTATTTGATTTATTTTTATTTTTATTTTACATTCCAACGGACAGCTTTATTTTGATATTTGGTACAATTCAGTGCAATAACAAACAAGACTTGCTTAAAGCTAATTATACAATAATTTTGAGTGAAAAACAAAGAATCAGAATCAAGTAATAACAAAACAAAAAGGAAAAACTGTTGTTCTCGAGTTTAGGATCTTATTGAAAGTCGAGTGAGACCGGAACTGTAATTTTTCGTTAAGGATGCTCCTTACACTAATTGTCATTATGAATTTTATAAACCTCAAACTCCTCCAAGGTGTCAAGTGTTCTACCTTTCCCACAGATATGTAGGCCCTACAATTTCTAAGCCCTAGTCAATGCTACTCATTGAGTCAATAGAGTCGACCAGGTGTTGGGCAAAGGCTGATTTTTGTTAAATCATTTTTGGAGTTGGTGTACCTTGTTGCGGGTTTCAAATGTCTAATCCATGTGGCCTATATATTATTTGCATGGGCAATCTGGGCAACTGATCTTGTAACCTTGAAACCAAACCAGCAATAAAGAAAAAGAAAAAAGGTGTTTACAAAATGTATGTAGTATTTTGGTCTGAAAATGGTTACTTATAGCTCCCACAACGACCATGGTAATCTGTCTGTGTGTAATCTGTCTGTCTCCATGATATACTTTCTTTTTACCATTCAAAAACCTTAAAAGAGAACAAAGAAACTGCGCCTAATCAATGGACACTTGGCCCATAGGCTGCTGGCAATTATTTAAAATTTCCCAGATCCATAAAAAATGAACATAATTAAGTTAGGTACCTACAGTTTACCGACTTTTATGATGTCATAATTACAGTTCTCAGTTTCTTGGTCGGCTACACACCCTGGTTAGTTTAGTTGGTGGCTCAGTCGGTAGCGTCATATAATTTGGGCCCAAGGCAGCAATGACGTGGGTTTGGATTCTGGTCACTGCCACAAACATTTTTACATTACACTCCACCTTCGTACTGAGTACAGCTCACACCTTGCTTTGCTTGGTAACCTCCACAGTTGCGCACAGCCAAACAGTCAATGTAGACGGGAAAATGCAAGATTAAATAAGGCTGCCATCCCCTTAAAACAATTATTCAAGAACATATAGTTTTTCTTGTATTTGCACAGCAAAGTTTTCTTTGCAAAACGTGTTTCTGATTAGACAATATTCAGATTTGTGGTGTTTGTATTGATTAGCTGGATTTTATTTTACATTTTGACCATGGCAGCAAAACCCTGATATTTGATCATTATGATATTTTCGAGTGTGTAGAAATTATTAGAATGTTGTGAACTGATTGTTCGAGTGTGTAGAAATTATTAGAATGTTGTGAACTGATTGTTAAAAACCTGTTTTAACTGATTAATACATTTTTATAATAAGGTATGATCATTTTCGGAAGTGGACACAGATGAGTTTAGACATAAAAAAGGAATCTAATTCAAGCACAAACAACTAAATGAGATAATTCCTGATGTATTACTTTGAAGAATCACTCTAAATGTTATGTTTCCCCAACAAAAATTAAATTCAGCAATTCCTTTTGTTGAAGTAGAATTTAAATTACATTGAACATTTTTGTTCTAGGTTGAGAGAGTAAAGGGAATGAAACGAGAGATTATACTAATAATTTAAGAACTTAGTACAATATAATGGAAGAATAAAGAAAAACAAGAGAAAAAACAAAATCACTCAAGTATATTATAAAATACCTAATATGCAGAGCTAGATTTGAAGAAAAGAAAATTCAATGTTGAATGAGAAATCTATCATATATCTGCTATACAATTATGAGTCCTACTACACAAGATTACAATTTAAAATACATACAAACCCCTCTGATGTGTTGACTTTCCTGATTAGTTATTAGTAGAATTATCTGTTGAATTTCACAGAGATAAAAATTGCAAGAATAGATATGTTAACTCACACTAAACACTTTCCTCTCAAGTGTCCAATATGTGAGCAAAGCTGTTCAACTCTATCTGCAATGAAAGTTCATATGTTATGTCATACTGGAGAACGTCCCTTTATATGTTTGACATGTGAAAGAACATTTTTCCTACTACACCAAGTTAAGAGTCATTTGTTGATACACTTTCGGAAGGGTCCCTATGAGTGTATTGTATGTAGGAAAACCTTTACATCCAAAAGCCACGTGAAGACACATATTGCAATGGTTCATACAGGAGAGAGACCTTACAGGTGCTCTACATGTCAAAAATCCTTCGCAAGGAAAGGTGATATGAAAAAACATTTATTGGTTCATACAGGCGAGAGACCTTACAAGTGTACTACATGCGGAAAATCCTTTAAAGCGAAAAGCAATATGAAGGAGCATACAAAGGTTCATACGGGGGAGAGACCTTATAAGTGCATTACATGTGGAAAATTCTTTGCATTTAAAAGTTGTATGAAGAAACATATTGCAATGGTGCATACAAGAGAGAGGCCTTATGAGTGCACATCATGTGAAAAATCATTTACAACCAAAAGTGATATGAAAAAACATTTATTGGTTCATACAAAAGAGAGACCTTACAATTGCTCTACATGTGGAAAATCCTTTACAACCAAAGGCGTAATGAAGTTACATTCATTGGTTCATACAAGAGAGATACCATACAAGTGCACTACATGTGGAAAATTCATTGCATCAAAAGGCTATATGAAAATACATAAATTAATTCATAAAGGAGAGAAACCTTATAAGTGCACTACGTGTAAAAAATCCTTTACAATGAAAAGTTATATTAAAAGACATTCATTAGTTCATACGGGGGAGAGACCTTACAAGTGCTCTACTTGTGGAAAAGCCTTTGCAACCAATAGTGATATGAAGAGACATTCATTGGTTGATACAGGAGAGAGATCTTACAAGTGCTCTACATGTGGAAAATTCTTTGTGTCTAATACTGTTATGAAGACACATACTAGACAGGTTCATACAGGAGAGAGATCTTACAAGTGCTCTACATGTGGAAAATTCTTTGTGTCTAATACTGTTATGAAGACACATATTAGACAGGTTCATACAGGAGAGAGACCTTATAAGTGCTCTTCATGTGGAAAATCCTTTACAACCAAAGGCGTATTGAAGATACATTCATCGGTTCATACGGGAGAGAGACCTTATAAGTGCTCTTCATGTGGAAAATCCTTTACAACCAAAGGCGCATTGAAGAGACATTCATCGGTTCATACAGGAGAGAGACCTTATAAGTGCTCTACATGTGGAAAATCCTTTACAACCAAAGGCGGATTGAAGAGACATTCATCGGTTCATATGAAGAGAGACCTTACAAGTTTACATGTGGAAGATTCTTTGCATAAAAAAACAATATGAAGACACATGCATTGGTTCATATAGGAGAGACACCCAATAAGTGCACTACATGTGGAAAATCATTTGCGTCTAACTTTTTATGAAGAGACATACATCGGTTTATACAGGAGAGAGACCTTAAGTGCACCTTAAGTGCATGTAGAAAATAAAAATCCTCAACTTAATGTAAATGGAAGAAATACATTATCTTGTTGTTAAACAGGAGAGAGTTCTTACATGTGCACTACATGTTTATAATCGTTTTGATTTATAACCTGTATCAAATTAAAATCAAATCAAATAAAATCATCTTTATTTAAGCTGTACATTCATACATGAATAGAGTCACAGAAAGAAAAAAAACACCAAAAGTACATTAAGTTTCTTATTTTATTTAAAACAATGGATAAATCTGTGAAATACAACCCTTTATCAGTAATATTGATTGTGTTAATTTAACAAGAACTATAGTTTTTAACTTTTTTTTTACTCTTTTTGTTGGCTAAATAACGAGGGGTCTAAAACTATAAGACAAGTTTATTAATTTCCCTCCCAAGATCTTGTAAACTAGTTTTTTCCTTTTATTATGGAATATAATCTTTTTAGTAAAGATAATTTGATAGATTGATAGAGCTATTAAAAGAAATCTTCTAAATTTCTTAATCTCTATGTATACTAGTTTTCAGATTTGATGGAAATTTGATAAATTTGGAAATTTGGATAAATTTGTCAATTTGGAATTAAGAAATTTTGATCCAATATGTGTTGGCTTTCTATGAGAAAAATGCAAGGCTATGCCGGGGCACGTCTATTTGATATATTTTTCTTGTATTATATGTGTGTATATCTTTGCGAATCACAAAGGTACCGGTACTTATGAATTTTACTTTTGGCGGAAATAATGCATTCTTAAATATACTGGTCATAGACAGTTAGAATATCTAATTGTGAAAAGTGGTTTCTTACAGATGTTTTAGGTCTTGGTTTAACATTATTCGCAGTGATTTTTTCAAGTTCATGTATTTTATCTAGGTTTTGTGCACTAGTACCCCATAGATATATAGATTATATGACGATTATATGACAGACGTTTTTGTAAATGTGCAAAATAAATACATTTTAATGTTTTTAAGACTAAAAATGCTGAAGAAATTTTGTTTGGTAAATTTAGAATATGTAAATTCTAATTCAAATGGTTAAGTCCACTAACATAAACATACAAATTTTGTGAAGTTTATTGTCTCTTCTTGACTTTGCTCTATTGATATGGACATTTCCGGATTGTCTTTATTTTGCACTGTTTTATTTATAAGTTTTAGTAAGAAGAAAATGCTATTTGTTTCTTCTTGATAAATAAAAAAATACTGTTTTTAGAGAAATAATATTAAAAACATTTTAATTATTCATTACACACTATTTCAAAATCATTATAAGATTTAGATGATGTTATAACAGTTAAATCGTCAGCATTCAGAACTAACCTGCTATTGATACCATTAAAACTTATTAATAATAAGTTCCTTATTACATATTATAAGAAGTTCCTTGTACATAGAACAAGTATAACAAAGGTCCAAGAATCCACAACACAAACACACAACAACAAACACAACAAAGGTCCTTGCGGAACTCCAGGTTTGATTCTTATTATTTTAAAGGTATTTTTTAAGGTTGACCAGTTGTTTCAGACACAATCTCAACATACTGTCTTCTGTTAAAGAGATTTGATTCAAACCAATGCATATAACGTTCTGTTCTGTTATACCCAAATTTTGCAATTTATTAAAAAGTATATTGTGTGAGATACTGTCAAAAGCTTTTGTAAGGTCCATAAAAAATACCAATTACTTTATTTTCTTTGTCAATTATAGTGTCTGTAAAATCCATTAAACCAGTAGTTATAGGCTTGTCATGTTACTCGTCATTTAAAAAGTAATTAGCCTATTTACCAAATAATCTACAATACGTTTGTACATTACTCTTTTATATATTTTAGATATGGAACAGTGGTGGCGATAAGAGCTCACGGGTCCCACTGCAAGTTTGTTCACCGGGCCCCCCTCTACCAATAATCTTTAATAACATTATCTGAGGTATTTTAAACTTGCATTTTTGCTTGGCACGGCATCTCCCGAGGCACCAAGGCTTCATCATATCGTGAATACTTCTTGTAGCCATGGAATCATTATTATAATCTACCGTGATTGCAACAAACCCTAGGACATCATCAGATAACAGCATCATCGTCTCCCTTGTTTGTGGCCCAATCCCTAATATCCCTAATGCCCCACGGTGAAGGAAACATTTTTTCTGCAATTGCAGCACAATTCTAGATTATATCTCCGGTCCCACGCAAAAAGAAACGTCATCACTGTCTTCTGCAAAAACGTCAAAACCTAGAATATTGCGCATGGTCAAGGAAACATTAAAGTCGTCTTCCACTATCAATTTGTTTCAAGTTATTTACAATTGTGTTAAAAAGTTATTAACAATTGTTGATCTTGCCGCTAAAAAGCTAGACAATAGGCATATTTTCATAATAACTTAGTTGTTTTATTTTACATCTGTACATTAGATATTTTTTACCGAGATTTCGATCACAGGACGACCTCTAATACTAAATAAATAACCTCCCTTATATGGATGGGTTATTATAGGGAATGTCATTAGGCTACATTGAATTTCACAAACATATTTCCTTAAAAATGTCAGATTCATCCTCTGTTGCAAAAACATTATGTTTATTATTATGGAATAACCCATATGTCCGTACAACTATTTGTAACAATTATTGTGTTTTTGATGGAATAAATTATTTGCAATATTCATTAATTTCTATATTTTTACTGAGTACTTAAGTCTTCTGCTGCAGGGAAGGTAACGAAGTATTTGAGTGGAATATTAATAGTTATTATTTAACAGCTTAAGTAAATTGGATCAAAATACATTATGCGTAAACAAGCAAACTAATTTACTTATTCTCCATAAAAATAACATAAGAATTGATTTAAAAATTAAGTTCATTCTATGTTCACATCAACTGGTCGACTAAGTGTAATGTGGATAGACTATCTGCATAGATGATCACCGCGTGGGTACAGTGTTAATCCTTTCCTGATTTTGGTTAAATTTCCCTGGGGCAGGACAAATTTGAATGAGTTTGTGAACCAGCATTATCGTACAATGGGAACGGGGTTTTATGCATGAAAAATTTGATTTTCCCATTTTTTACTTTGATAACAAAAAATTTTCGAATTATCTCCAAACAATGCAGCCGAGCTTAAAAAATAATTTTGTACATTGATGTTTTTGTATGGTTATTAGTTACAGAGAAAAATAAAAAAGGTGTAAATTTAAAATTCCGATGTTATTATATATTTTGATCAAACTTGGCACAGTTATCTATTTTATAATACAATTTGGATATTGTACTAAAACACACTACATTACCATCTCTGTTAAAGCAAACGTAGATACTTGTTCAACCTAATGTCATTTAAATAGATTTAATTGAAAATCCAATAAGGTAAATTTGCTTAGCGTGCACGTTTGCAGCAGCGGGGGTATTGCTTATAATGGTAAATGAAATACTAATCTCTATTTACAGTAAGAAAAACAAACTGTTTGTTTTGCCTGACTCCGGCCATACTACGCAATAGTCCGTAATTCTTTCAAACTGACTAAGAAGGAATTTCCCTTGAAAGTTATCTTTGTCATGTTACGACTTTAAAAAAGGCACTAGACACATGGGCTCTGGACAGTCGTCAGTCGTTTACGAAGGAAGAATTGTACTTGCCAGAGCCCAGTTTTTTCACATTCAGTATTTGTGGCTTTGTCAAGGGTGCGCTTTTTTAGTGAAAACCATGTCTGTATATAAATCAAAACCATCAACACAAAAATCATATATGACCATATTATTACTTCCAGCTTGGTCTTCAAATAAGTTATGTATTCCTCTAAAAACTTAACTTAACATTATATTTTGAAAAGGTTAATAAAAATAATAAAAAATGTAAACCATAATCAATTCCTGAGTAAGGACCCATACTTAATCAACGATAAACTTACTACAGATTTGATTTATGTGAAAAAGCACCCATTTTGGAATAACCGCCATTTTGGCTAGGGGTGAGATATTCACCTCGGATTTGCGTCATTGTGTTTCTTTTGACAAGCCCTTCAAAATGAGGGGTCACTCAATAGAGGTTGCTATTTGAAAAAATAAGTCAACCCCTACCCCCTACCCTGTTAGGGGGGGGTTATACAATTTTTTTTGTGTAAAAAATAGTGGAACATGTTTTAAGAATCAATACTACAAACAGAATATTTTTATCTATTTCAGTTTTAATAATACAGATTTGTTTCAAGTCTTAATTTACTCACTGTATAACATTTATAGGTATAAATATGAAATATATTAGGTTATGCGTTATTCTGTTGTATATCATGCAAGTTTAAGAGTGTGTGAGTTTAAAATTTAAATGTCAATCACGTTTTAGAGCAGCTTAGTACATTAAAAGATTGCTGCAACGTTTGTTAAAGTGCAAACAAACTAGTTAATCCTGAATGATAATAAAACTGTAAACATTCTCTTCAAAAGTCCTTTGCGTCTAAAGACGTTATGCAGTGACATACTAAATTGATTCATTTAGGAGAGAGAAAATCCTTTACATCGAAGTGTACTATATGTGGTAGATCGTTTCAATTCCAAAGCTATATGAAGGAGCATACAAAGGTTCATACGGGGGAGAGACCTTTTAAGTGCACTACTTGTGAAAAGTTCTTTGCATTTAAAAGCTCTATATCATATTGCTATGGTCCATACAAGAGAGAAGCCTTATGAGTGCAATATATGTGGAAAATCCTTTGCATCAAAAGACTACTTGAAGACAAATGCAATGGTTCATACAGGCGAGAGACCTTATAAGTGCTCTACTTGTGGAACATTTTTTACAACCAAACATGTGATGATGACACATTCATTGGTTCATACAGGCGAGAGACCTTATAAGTGCACTACATGTGACAAATACTTTGCCTCTAAGAACGATATGAAGAGACATTCATTTGTTCATACATAAGAGAGACCTTACAAGTGCACTACATGTGGAAAATTCTTTGCGTCTAACACCGTTATGAAGACACATATTGCAAGGATTCATACAGGAGAGAGACCGCATAAGTGCACGTCATGTGGAAAAACCTATGAAACCAAATTTGAAATAAGGAGAAATTTATTGATTCATAATGGAGATATACCTTGCATTTATAAGCCCTTTGAAGAATCATATAACATTAAATAAAACTATACATTCATTCAATTTACAGTTATTCATTTAAATGAACTAAAAACTAACTTGAATACAATAAAGGTTTATGAAGGGGAAAAATTGCTTAACATTGTTTTTTTATTTAATGTTTTAAATTAAACAAAATTTGTAGAACAAACTATACAGTTTTTTTTAGCAAAATATCTAAACAGCATAAGCTAAGCATCTTGTAGGTCACAAAGTGTAGGTTGCATAATGTCTTTTTTCAATAC